TACGAAAACTTTTGGGCAGACGTTGACGCATGTGGCAGCTCAGGTCCAACTATACGTTATATAGGCATAAACAGACTGCTGCAGAGGGTAGGTATACCTATCTCTAAGACGGACGGACGATATTATACGATGTATGGGAAAGAAACGAAAATCTACCCTGTGCCGACCTATATATATATTTAATATTATGTAAACTGTTGCGAGTGATGTAATACAATATTATATTATATCCACATATACGCATTATTAATCACTGTGCAGGGGATTTTCGGCGAACACGATTTTTCGAATGGGTGCAACACACTGCACGCTGCAGACACAGCACACTCACACACATATTTTATTGTTGTGTTAGTATATTTGCGAGACACTATATATATATAATATGGTCGTCGTCGATAATGTAATATGAGGGACCGGAGACTGTTTCCAGATGTTTATATATACATATATAATATACAGATGGTTTTCGGAACAAACGCTCCAATAAATGAGGACGGCGACGCACAGCGCGTCAGACGAATCTATTATATATACACGATAAGTCACTTTTCTGACCTACATATGTGCGGCAGTTGACGACGGTGTTTTTCGAAAAACCCGAAACGTAATAATAACACATTTCGAAGTCGTACGGCAAACACCATCATATATTTTTAATACATATATTATACTATACGCCCTATATAATACACCATAAATATAGTATTTTATATATTATTATTTGTATATATGACTATAGCAGGACTCTGTAGTGTGTAATAATCGTATCCATACAATGCGTGTACTTGCAAGACTATCGATTTTTCTACTATAAATAAAGAGAGACAAAGACATAAAATGTACAGAAAATATATTTATGAACGCGTATATAATATAAACTACCCGGCATCTCTAAAACACCAGTTCACTCTCTATCCTCTCTATCTTTTTTCCTCTAGAATCATGTAGTGTATATTTTTATCGTATTTCTTTAGTACATAATGCTGACGAAATTTATTCGGGAAAACTCGACGTTTAATAACACGGATGAAAAAGCAAAGCCGATTTTATACTCAGCAGCGAATATTATGTACGTTCGGGCTTCACGCGTCGCTTGCCCGTATAATACATACGTGCAAATAGGACATAGGTATACCTGCAGTATAATACATAGGTTCGAAATAATATAATTATAAAATGAATGATAGTACCTAAACCTATAGGTCTACCTAAATAATAGTAAACGACGATGATAATACATACACTTTTAAACCTATATTTAGGTATCGCATGGTATCGAGTGTATGCATATAATAATAATAATATAATTATTTTTCTCTGGAGTCTGATGGTGATGAACATTGATGCTTACATTGTATATATATTTCGTTTTTGTATGCAAATATAGATGCGTATAAAGTATATATATGTACAAAGAAGTAACCTATTATTCACACACACACACAAACTTCAAACGAGAACCTCGACAGCCAAGGTGAATGGACGGGACTTGGAAGAAACGAGTCGGAAAAAATGATGTAACCCGGCGAGACACGCTGACAAAAGGTGCAGTCCGTATATACACCTGCCTGTATAGCTATATCACCGCCACCGTCAACCACTGCAGCATGGAGTTTAAAATTTTTTTTTATCATTATCATTGTAATAACGAAGCCTAGGCGAATAGACAATACGCGTATTGTACGCGCCCACAATGGCGTCGTCATTATAATACAAGTAGGTCGTGGTCAACAAAAGTCAGTGTGTATTTCGTTTTGAAAAAAAAAAATTACAAACAAAAAATATATATATATATACGCGTATTATAATAATAAAACCGAGGAATAATAATAAATAATACACAAAACAAACAGTACTTTGATAAATGATTTCTTTTTCTGTTCTTATACCTATATATATTATATAGTTACTATTCTCTTATATTCTTTTATCCTCTTCGCCGTTGCCTACCGCGGTGCGCACGTCGTTGTTTAAGTCTCACACAACAACCATAACCAACTCGCACAATAGCCGCCATTTTCCTCGGTTCAGTCGACGATAATAATGGTCGTAATAAAAATAATTGAAAACTATTATCATCGTCGCAACACGCGGGTCCGCGCTGCATTTGTACGACACGCCACCGACTTCGGAGGTAAGAGAAAATTACGTTTAACAAGCCAAACCGCCCAGACGCTTTTTTCATAATAAATCAATCGGTCAAAAACCACAACGCAGCATATAGATATCATATTATATAATGATAATATTATTATGATTATACGACTGCAACAGGAGCTGAAAGGAATATTGTATTGTCAGGTTGCAGTATCTATATATATACCTAGTGGCTAGTACATAATATTGTATAGGTATACGACCGCAAAACCGGCTGCTTAAGGGTGGCTGTGCGACAGTGCCTATAAGTGAGTTTCCTGTAACTTATATAACATGAAATATAGAAAAAGAAATGATGACGGCCACATCCACGGCGGAGTACCTATACACACATTATTTATTGCGAAAATCGTCGACTCCGACGGGGCCACCGGAGACGATGTACGCCATATACCTAGTCATATTATATTTACCCCCATACGTATAGAAATATACGTGTAGAATTAATATGATATTATAAATGTTTTAGGCGTCGCCCGCGGTCAAGGAAATGAATGAATGCTCTACGCTGGCATACTGTCGGACAGGCGCGCGACGAGTTCTAATTTAAACTCTGCTCGAGCAGTGGCATATATTATACGCACATCACCGCGATCGTAATAATAAGGATTCGTTGCGGCCAAAGTGTAACAATATATAATAATAACATGCATGGTATTATTCTAATGTACGCGTTGTATAAATCAGATAGCATTATTATTTATTTTTATTGGTGGCCATACTGCAGCGGTTATACCTATAAATATTATATTTTTAATTTTTACTATTTAGACATTTTTCGTACGTAAATTATATGATGTGCATTGTTGCCCCCGCGATGACGATATATAGAAGCTCGATAGTATATGCTGTGAGGATATCATCACTCCCGATTGGCGATCATATTTCCGCGCCCGAATCCAGCGAAAAGCCCCGCGGCGTTTAAGTCTGCGAACCGTGAACAATTAAATGACGTCCATATATACATTGCCCTTAGGTATTATATATTAAATTGTATTTACGTCTAAAGCATCGAATATTGCCAAACAAGCATTATAATAATATTATTATCTCGTAGTCCGCGTTTCGCTCTGCACATATACGAATATAGACGAACGCTCTGATCGCCGTGTATACATATATTGATAGTGCTTTGTGCGCGTTATTGTATCCCCGGAGGACCGTCGCGTCTCCCGCTGTAGCGGCACAGTTTATGTCGATCGCGGGCGTGACAACGCGAAATATATTATTATATCAAACATATGTTTATGAATATTTAATGCGCCGGCCACTTTGCAAAACCCTAGTCGGAATTAGCGGTGTGCGTATGGAATGTATATATAGCTGGCAGCACCCCGACGAACTGCAAGAACTACTGGGCTACAGTAGCAGCACTCTCCACGGTATAATATATATAATAAATCACATTACGCCGCACGCGACCCCTGCACAACCCTTTTCTCCTCGCCACGGACCTCTTTCCGATTGTCCGGTTTTTTTTCCAAGCCCCCGCGGTTCCACCACGCCAGCCGTCGGAAATTAATCAAAAACAAATTTTACGCGATGGCGACATACGTCGGATTAACTTCTCGTTATACATACATCACTATATACCTACACATGCACGCACGCTGTACACATTACGCATATTATGGTATTATTTCGTACGACGCGGTTGTTTTTTCTCGTAATCGTGTTTTAATCAAAGCAAACGCGTGAAAACCCGTGTAAGTATATACGCATAGTTGTTTTTTAAGTTTGCGTGCTCTTTTCAAGTAGATACACCGCACGAACGATGAGTTGCCTCGCGACACTGCGCTGCTGCAGTATGCCATCTGTGGGAGTGCTGCTCCTGTATAGGATTATATACTACTCCCGACTCCGGCACTTTACACTAATATACGGCGTTTTTACGGACATTTGAACAGCAGAGCACGTCCGTTCGTTGAAAAGTTTACATAATGGCCGGAAATAATGAGATATATACCTACCAGTGGATACAGAATTATTATGCGCCCGCTTCTGCTGCCGCCGCAGGGGGAGGAGGAGACGCAAAAGGAAAGCATTTCTTTTCAAAAGCACAGAAGCAGATTAAAGTCCGAACGCGGAACAAAAGAAAAACGGCCGAGTAATGAAAAAGAATGAAGGCGTGTATATACATACATACATACATATATATATATATATATATATACATACCTCGGTATACATACGCTGCAGCGGTATACGCGCGTAACCGGCGTTGTGTTATTAATGAAAATGAAGAGAGTAGAGAGAAAAAAAAAACGTACTACAATATGATTTAGGTAAAACGCTCGTCTTTCCGCAGTGGACCCTTCCTTTTACTCTCCTGCAGTATAATATAATATAGACTCGTTGCAAGCAGTTTTTTTCAGAGTATTTTTATTTTAATTTCTCATTGAACTGCACCGCCACCCGTTACAGCCCCACACCACTCCACTGTCCCTCCGGAAAAAACCGCTTTTCCGATTATGTGGCATTAATGCGCGCCAGACTTTTCATGTTTCCAATCATAAAAATGCTATAGGTACCTGACAACGACTGTGGTGACAATACAAAAGAATAAGAGGAAAGCTCCGTAAACATAATAATATACACTAATTAAACGGTGAACTCGATATGGAAATAAAAACCGTCGCCGATAAATATAAATTAGTTTCGATGTGATGATAGTAATAATAATAATATTAATCATTAGTATTATTATAATTATTATTATTGCATGTTGAATAATATATTATCAACGTTGTTTTTTTATTTTGTTTTCGTTAATGCACTCGAGTTGGCAGATTTCCGCAAAATTAAATACAATACGTGAATGCTGCAACAGTGTGGTATCATATATATATATATAACATACAATATGTATATATCATCGTTAAAGTGTTGTGCGAAATATGGTTTTCATTTGTTTAAAAATAATATAATTAATATAACATGCCGATGTTAAAAATGTTCGAAAATAATATTTATAATTATAAAACCACCCTCTATTGTAGCGTTGATCGGATATAACAGTGCGATGCGCGTTTCGATTATAAAAATAGTTCATGTGTGCGAGTGTATTATTATTATATATTATGGCGTAGCAAAAACGGTAGTAAATCAAAAGTTATTACAAAACATAAATGTCGGCTAGAGAAGAAGGCAGTTAAATAATTTTTTTCTCTCTCCGTGCACATTTATACACACATATCACTCCACCGAGAAGTATCTCTGGGTTATGTAGGACGCGTGTCTACAATTTTTCCATACGCTCCTCGTGTTTCAGCTGCAGATATCAGCGGTTTCCAAAATGCGCGTGGGCCGCAAAAGAATTTTAGTGGGCATCGCGAAATATTTACTTTATTAATTTCAATCATGAAAATAATATTTCTGCATCGATTTTTGACAATATTTTAATAATAATTGTGTGTGCGTCAAATTAGAGGAATGTTTATCAATTACCAGAGCATAAAACAAACAATAGCATCGTCTATATGCACTGCAAAGTAAGTCCCTAAATTCTTTAGATAAAAAAACAATATTAACACTAATATAAGAGTGGACACTTTATATATATGCTTGTACAATGATTCATATTGTATAGTTTATCGTTTGAAAACCTTGGCCCACTGTCTGTGTATATATATTTTGTTTCCTTAAAAAAATGCTCGAAAATACTAGTACCTAACTATATAGTAACTAAAAACTAAGTAAAACCTTACCTTGTTCGGATGATCTTGTTGGGTAAGCAGTTGTTCTCGAAACAATTGCAATTGCAAAATCATTTCCGACAGTTTGCGTTCTTTTTCGACTATCGTAGTGGTATCGCCCTGCAAGTGTTGAAGTAGCTCCATGCCGGGAGGACCTCCTGAAGGATCTTCGCAGTGTTCCGTCAGAGTGTCCGGTTTACTGTTGAAAAAAATCATTTTAATTACAAAATAGAAAAGTACACACCTTTAATAAAATATGGTCGTTGTATATAGATATATTATACACCAGTTTACAAGTAATCAAAATAAAAAATGTGGGGATATATAGTAATACTATATTGTACGATTATATGGTAGTTTGATCTAATACCTAGTAGGTGTAACCTATATCATTATATAATTTGGTGTTTTATAAAATTTATATATTTTATTTCATTACAGTCGGAATGAAAGATAATTTTCAGGCCAATTCAATCTTATAAATGCCAACATTTTTGTTGATTTGACGGATAGGTATCCGTGGTTAATTGTAGATGTATAGCCGTATAGGTAATAAATTGAATCTATAATCTGGTACTTAAGAGAAAAAAGACAATGTATATTATCAGCTAAGTTGTGACTATACAAATACAATTTACTATTTTTTGAAACATCCGTCCCTAGATCCCTTAACTAGATCTAAAGTGAAAAGTGAGTAAGCAAGTACATAATGTACCTTATACATAAATTCAATTATATACCCTGCAAAGAGCGATTCGAGTTTTGGCTTTGTTTTTACAAGATAAAATCGAATTAGCGATGTACGATGTCCGACCGCGTATACGTATAGGTATATAACAGCTAGGGGCCGGAAGTTGGAATTTTCATTGCGGAAATAGCGTAAAAACAAAATATATTTTTATAAAAACATCGCGAGGGCGAGGGTGGGAGGCTGCATCTATACATATAATGTATTGCATTATTGATATGTCGAAAAGATACACACACGCATATGTTATATTATTATATACGGGCGGGAGAGGTAGGTAATAATAATAATCGATGGTGATTTATACGAGCTTAACCCTAAACAAACGTACACCCTTCCCCATGCACCTCGCCTTGGCCTAAGTCGACAGTATTGTATACAGTAGGTATATTATACAACACTATCCCTCTCTATATATATGTCATATATATATATATATATATCCATACACACACACACACACAGAGTACAGCGTGTTTTATTATTTATTCACAGGGCCCTTGGGGTTGCGGCGGCGTGTCCCTTACACATACACACACACACCCATATAAAAAATACTACACACACAGTACACAGCGTATATACGCGATTATACCCTTTTGATCCTGCCCGTGGCGGTCATGCATCCCCTCCTCCGATGAGGCGGCGACGGGATGGTTTTTATTCTCCTCTCCGTCCCCGAAAAATTCTTCTCTTGTTCTTTTACCGTATTATACGCGCCGCAGACCCCCGACCACCGTCGTATACATATTATAATATATTTATTAAGTCGACGCCACAGCCGCCGCCGCCGGATGCCCTCCGTCCGAGAGATAAGTCTCAGACCCCTCACGCGCATCGCCCCCCCCCCGTCATTATACTTTAATGTCGCTCGTCCGGATATATGTGCGTATATAAACACAATAATGATGCTGCTATTTCGTCAAATATTATGCTTGTTATATGTATATAATATATAATTTGTTCCGTACACGTCGTGAATAACAACTATAGTATAATATACAATATGAACACGCGAGAAAATACAATAAAGAAGAATTTCCGTTTCTTCGCGCGGACCATATCTATACCTACCTATATAGGTATGTTTAATACACATTATTATATGTGCGTGATCTGGTTTTTGCATAACGTACACATATTCTTATTATTCATATTCATATTATTTTGCGCGACGTCGACGGCGACGATGACAGAGGAATGTGCTACGGGCGTTCGTGCGGCGAGAAATAATATATAGCTTTTTAAATCCCCCGCCACGGCGTACGATCATAAAAACGGTTCCACAAAATACATATTAAATATTAATTCTTATTTTATAGGCCCTATATTTTATTCAAACTTCTATTATACTCGTTTTAACTATTATTGGCAGACCTTCGTTCATTACGCTCGTCGGCGTTTGCGAGTATATAATACTACAATATTATATATAACCACATCAATAATTTATTCAAATTAATAACTTATTCGTTTGGATTTTACGACTGTTTATATATAGGTACGCGTTGACGTTTTAAAACGTATGCTTTATTGTATTCTACGCTTTAACACGACGACGAAAACGTTCACGTCTTTAGCTTTACGTCGTCACTTGAATAAGTACTTTATAGTATGTGAATTATCATTCGGTTGGAAATGACTTCATTCAAATTGACATATATATATATATATATTATATATATATACATGCACGTATAGGTGTAGGTGCCTACTACTAATTAATATTTAATTTGTAAGCGGCGCTAAGAAAAAAAAATTAAAAACAATAATAATATCAGCTATATATAATATATATACGACCTAGCTGTAACCTACCTATGCACGATTAAGCCGTGACGCGATAGTTTATTAAAATAATGTGCAGTGTGTTTTTTAAGCAATTTTCGGTACAAATACAATTTTATCGCCGCGTGTAATCGACTTTCGGTCCCGGACATTCCGATTCCGATAAAAGCGTACCGAAATCGCAGAAAAACAACTTGTGTGAGGTATTTGTTTTCCACGGTGAAATACACCACGGACGAATCGAATGCAAGGAAAAAATAAAACCTGACCTATACCTCTTTGCGAAGAGCAAAATATTATAATAATGTACCGTATAAAATACCTCGACGTCGTAGTTATTATGATTTAACCCCGCGGCCGCGTCTGGTGGTCAAGTGCGTGGTCGTTGCGGCCGTTAATTTATAACTTACAAAAGTGGTTTCTCACGTGGCGCGGCCATACGTCAGACGGACATTACTGTTATTATAATGGCAAATATAATTATGGCACTTGTGTGATATAATAATATCGTATATTATAATACTGCGTGTGTATTGTGCATTGTTAAGGAAAAAAATAAACTGTCGGCGGCGGCCACCTTTCGATGACCTTGATATTATTACGAGTAGAAAATACGAATTAAATTAAACGGACGCATAAAACAGACGCATAAAATAAAAATAAGAATTTGGACCGCGGGAACATTATTATATTATATTATACGCGAGGGGTCGTCGAAAACGAATAAAATATAATTATTAATTGGCCGTGGTCGAAAGGTTTAAGGTAGGTAGGTACTATATATAGGTAACTATATTAAATTATATTTGCACGGCGGTAACCACGGCGTATACCAATACGCGTCTATACAGAAAACGGACCGGCTGAAATTCATTCGAATCATTAACGTTCATTGTTAATAGCGAAAACATCACTGCACATGTAAAGAAATAATAATAATATATTTTATAAAATGATTATTGTGTACACTAACGACCACGTCCAGCCTTGCCTATATTGGCTTGTCCGGAGATAAAACATAAAATATTGCTCTCTTTCGACATTAAATATTAATTCAACACAACAATTATTCGTATTATTATTATATTGTTATTACAAAGTCTAAATAAAAAAATTAAAAAAGATATTATGTATATCGTAATAATTAATAATATTCGCTCTTGCAGCCCGAGATATTCTCGGTTATATTAGTATAAAGTTAACATCTAAAACAGAACTAATATTTATACAGGTTTATAATGTTATATATATTTATAGGAATGTTCACACCTATATAGAAGTGATATTCTATCTTTTTTAGTTTTGCAGTAAATAATAATAGTATTGTTGCAAGCATCATTATATAGACAATAAAATAAATGAGAAGGCAATAAAGTTCTCTCTAAGCATGTTGGCCTCAAGCGAAAGTGCACACACACACACGCACACAACATTATATATTAAACATAAAAAAAAAAATGTAGGTATAATAATAATATAATATACAGTGAAGGTACAATGTTAGCGGCGGTAGTTCCACTCGACATGTTTGCACTGTTTGCAGGCAGTTAATAAATCGTCTAATTGAAATTCAGATAACAGCACCTGAACACTATACCGTACACATTATTGTATTATTACTATCATCATCATCATCATCGACGACGACGAGCGTTTAATGATTTTCTGTACATTATAATATACTCGCTGGTATATAGTACTTGTACGAGTATATTGTACATATTATATAATATTATATACCTACATGAGCCTATATAGGCCTATAATATGCCAATATAATATCGTCGTTTCGTTGTCGACGACGGCAAATAATTATAAATACGCGTTCGGGAAAGGGGGGCGACGCACTTGATATACTTATACACTGTATATTGGGATAATATAATACTATTGGCGGAAAAAAAAAACGAAAGAATGAATAATAATCAACGAGGTCGAATAAAATTAATGTACCTATAAACGTTCGTTTTCGCGGTTAATCTCAATTACGCGAACAATCCGCGGTGGTGCGTGTCTAAAATCGTCTTGCAGGGCGGCGAAGGTACGAGAACGCCCGATGAACCGCCGTCGGCGGGAGCATATGAGCGAAAAAAATTGTAAGTATCTGAAGATTATGGGATTTTGGGATGAATTTCTGGGAAAGCTCTGCCCTTTTTCTGCAGGACGGAATAGCTAATCCATAACCTACGTGGCTATGTGCAGTATATTATGTTGTGGCGCGAGACTTTTGCAGGTGGGTAGGTATTTTGACGGCGGACAGAATATATGGGTCACTATATATTATATGACAATCGTAAAAACGTTGTGCACAACGAGAGAATTAACATACGAAATATTTGTTGAAACGTTCACGCACTCGATCACACCAGACGGCTCGGAAGAGGATTTGTGCGCATATATACCACGTGGATATAACAACAATAATATTTATCTGCTTATAGAGTATAGGCACCTCACTCGTGTTTGTTTCGTTTAAAACGTGTTCATCGCAGACGAGGCGGATGTCGCATATGGTATTACGACGAGTGTGTCGATTTATTTTATATTATACTAACTCTTGATTTTTATTCCACCGTTTATTTCATCGAACGCTACAGTCATAATAATAATAATAATAATAATAATAATAATAATAATAATAATAATAATAACAATAATAATAATAACATAGGTACACATCAACACGTTCGGTGGTTATGATGATAATATATTATATTCGGCGAGAAAATAATAAATAAGCGAAAAAAAAACGTTTTATTATCTCGGGCACGATAATAACGTAGCTACGCGGCGGCGGCGGTGGCGGTGGCAATCGACTGACACGCGAAAGAGGATTTAAATAAATTAAAAATTTACAATAATTCTCTGCTCCATATCTTAGTTTCGCCACACGCGAGAATAGAGTATATTATAACCCTATTTAACGATATCGCCGCAGTTAACTTTGTGATGTGCTCTCTCTAAAACAAGCGGTCGACCAAGTATTATACTCAAACGCTCCTTGCACTATACCGCGGTCACATAATTTTGATTTCGCTTAGCTATTATTATTAGGCATAATACACAAGTCGTCTAAAAATACAAAACAATAAATGCGCGCAAACGCCCGAGCGGAGGAGTGTTACGGCGTATAATATATTACACTGTCGCAGTGACGTACTATATTATATTATGATAATAATAATAGTAATAATAATTAAAACGAAAGAGCGTTTGCGAGCGCGAAACGCATAGCTGCGGCTATAAAACAGCGTCGCGAGTCGCGGACTCGTATATAATACGCGGGACAGATAGGTTTTGTTGGCCGACGGCCATACACCTCCGCCGTCGCGGTTTTATATAACCGAACTCGGTGAGACGGATAGGAAGAATGAGAACGTATATTATTATTATCATGTGCACTATATGTAGAGACCGCGGGCGCACGAGAGACAGGAGGGTGAAAAGGCCATCCATTAGTCCTGCCCGTCTCTGCAGTCCGCCACTCGAAGTTCCTTATTATTTCCCCTCCCTTTCGGACACCGATCGCCGTCTAGAAGACCGAGCGGTTCGTGTCGGCGAGTCGTAATTAGATCATTAATTTACGATGGACTGCCCCCAAACTCGTCGAAATTTATTAGGGAGAGAGAGAGCAGAGTAGTTGCATAGTCTAAAATTTGTATCAATTTGTTGGCCGAGCGTAAAACGGCGGCGACAACGACGACGAATTACCGCGCCGAGAGATGCGTTGAGCTTTCTTCATGTTCTTCGTTTTCAATAACGTATAATACTATTATTATTATGTAGGCACTCGTCGGTGCGCGCGTGTGTACCTAATTCTAGACAACAATCTCGCACCCAGCCTAATCTAACCTAACCCAACCTAATACAAAATGGGTATTCTAAATAAGTGATGTTCATATTATCTTTTGATTCCTAAGGTTGGTATACAAAAACCTACCTTAAGAAATAATAATAATAGGTAACAAATATTCAATGTCGGTGACCTCTACTACTGAACGATTACGATTTATTTATAACACCAGTTTACTCGTAAGTACAAGCGGGCTTAGGGTTCACCGCGCAGATTACCGGTGAACCTTTAAAAGCGTACAAATTGTACAATAATAATATGTAATAGTAAAACAATACACGAGTAAAACAATAGATCGGCGGTGGTCGATCGCTACGTGTGCGAAATTATAACTACATAACATTATTATTATTATTATTATATGTTTCTATGCTGTTATGTTATATTACATATCGAACTACAAAAACATTGAGTTTATAAATATTATATAATAATAATATGACCGGCTGTATAATATATATTATTATGCTATAATACAGCAGGTATAAATGGTATAATGTACCAATGACACAATAAACGTGATGGCGTTTTTCGACTTACCTTAGTCCGGTGCCGCCGCCGCCGCTTCCGATGAAAAGAACGCATTTCGAACACATGTCTCAGTAGTCGGCGTTCCTCTATAATATTATAGCTGCACCGGTATAATATTATATTTTACCGACGGAGCGCCACACGAACGCGTAGGAGTTACCTCATCTCTGTCTCTCTCTGTCTGTCTCTCTCTTTCTCTGTGCCTAACAATATATTATAATATTATATTATTATGTTATATAACATGCGACGACGGCTAAACTCTCACTGAATGAGCTCCGACCATGGACGGACGACAGTGGAGGCAGCGATTACTCGCTTAACTGCACCGGGGCCGAACGCGAGCGATTACGACGACGACGACGACTACGAGAGATGCACGAAATCAATAATAATTAATATTGTCGGCAGATAATGATGAGCGTTTTACGATATTGTATTATAATGATATATCTGACGACGTCACCAGGATTATAACGTTATTGAAACGTCGTGTGCAGTGTGCGTGTGCACGAGGCGAGTGTACGGAAATATTATTATATACATACGTGTGACTACACTATAGTTTACCCCACCTCAAAAATCGCGCGTCGATAGGTACATTGAGTGTAAAAAAAAATTGCGAACGCGTGTGCGCCTTCTGGATAATATACACCTAAGGTAGCCCGAGGGTATTGCTATTTTTAAGAGCCATCAAAATATTATTATACTTACTAATATACATAAGGTATACCTCCTACTGCAGTCTGCAACGGTATATTATATTATTGTTATATCTCAGGAAAACAAAAATTTTAATAAGCTACACAACAATTGGCGACGGTGACGACAAAGACAAAAAGCAGTAAGTATATTATATAGGTAGGCCGTGGCCGTCAGAACAATAATACACGAGGCAATACACTTGAGTGTATATATCCACGACAAATAGGACTACAATATAATTATAATACCTATACGTTGTCATAATATACGTTCTCGAGTGGTCTATAAAATATACTTAAAACGGCAATAATTGTTCTCTCATTTTTTTTTTATCGGTCGCATATCTGCTTTAACGCGTATATAATTAAAATAAAAGGTATATATACTATTATAACACTGCGGACTTCGATTGCCACCGAAAACTCGAGTACATAAACACATCATAGGCCCATCGTATTTGTTTTATTTCGACATCACAATACACGAATATGCTTATATTATTATATTACCCTTGACAAACATATCATAATAATATAAAAATATTTTACGAATAAAATATTTATCGGGGGATTGTGCGAAATCAAATACCACTGTGGCACACTTACCTAGAGATATATTATATAACTGCGATATTTACCATAAATATATATATACATATACTTAGGTATCAAAAATATCGATAAGTCGATAAAGGATTTTATTTTTTTTTGTATTAACGCCAACTTCTTACTAAATAATTTAAACATTGCGACTGCACATCAGGTACATGTGTGTCAATATAACTGAGGAGTACCGAAACTATTATTTTCGTACTTGTGCTTTGAACCACCACATTCTAATAGTTATCAAATTGCTGCTGATGTGGTATCCAAAAAAAAATAAATTCAGGATACCTGATGCAGTGACTGTTCATTTGGAGGCATCGGTTTCAGTCAAAAACCAAATAACATTATGAACTATAATGTACACTGACCTGGTTTTATGCGAAGGTGAATCGGGACGGGCGGACGCCGCGACGCCATGTTCGTCTCTGATGTGCATTTTCGACGAGAGTTTCTTGAGCACGTCGTCCATGGTTCGCTTGGCGGCCGGTCCGCCAATAGGAGACATCATGTTGTTGTTGTTGTTGTTGTTGTTATTGTTGTGGTTGTGCATGAAAGTGTTGTTGTTCAGGTGCATGAGGTGAGCTAGTTTATCAGCATCGTCGGCGCCGCCCTTGCCTCGGAGCAGACGCTGTTCGATGTCGAAATATGACGAACCGGCGGCTGCTGCGGCGGCCACCGCCGCCGCCTGAACGCTGTCCATCATGTGATGGTACTGTTGTTGTTGTTGTTGCTGTTGCTGCTGCTGCTGCTGCTGCTGCTGGACGTGATGGCCGCCGGCGTTCATGAACGCTCGTTCGTACGCTGCCGCGGCAACGGCTGTCTCGTAGAAAGCGGCGCCATGGTTAAGCGTCAAAAACGACGCGATGTGTGGCGGCGGATGTGCGGACGGCTGGTGTTGAGGCGGCGATCCCGTGGTTTGTTGTCTGGCGTACGCTGCGAAGGGCGATGCTCTGAGAGCGGCCACAGCGGCCGCAGCAGACCCCGCTGCAGACGAGGGGCTTTCGGTGCGCTGACGTTTGTTGTTGTTGTTGGTGGACGACTGTCGGCCACCGTTGCCGCCTACAGGAGACGAACCGGAAGCGTACCGGGGGCCGCCGCCGCTGCTGCTGTTCTCGCTGTCCGACGACGGCGAGGGCGACGTGCCGCCACTGCTGCTGGCTGGCCGGGCGGCTGCTGACGAAGGCGGGGGGCTGTTGGCCACCGCCGGGCTGCCGCAGCTCCTGTCCGTCGTCTGCACGGCCGACGCCGTGGCCGTGGCCGTTTCCATGGTCGTTTCGCTGCAGTTGTCTAGGACTTCGGTACCGTTACCGCAAGCGTAACCGTCGTCCGAGTGGCCGCTACTGCTGCCGCTACCGTTCTCTTCGACCGCGTTTACTGCAACCGTTGTCTCGGCCGTCGTTGTAGTGTCGGGTGCGCTCGTGGCGTTCTCCAGCAACTTGGACGGCGGCGATTTACGTTTCGATGACATTACACTGCAACGACAACAAATAAGACATAAGTAATACGTCACACAATACGCGTAATTCGGTTAGGTATGACGTGGAAAATAAAAGTAGAAAATATGCATTCATTAATATATGTACCTAAGTACCATGTATAACCGAGTTATGTACACTCTCAGACGAAAATTCAAATCGCTTTTTAACATAATAATAGTATATAAAGATCCTAATGTTCATCTGCCGCAAAGTATTGGCTACATTTCGTAGTATGGTAAAAAGTGTATATGTAGTCTAGGAGCGAACTCGTACAGGACTCGGGACTACAACTCTTTTAACTAATTCTATTTAAGTGTATCGGTTTTTTGCTAATAAATCGAGGATCTGCTAAATCTGCAGCTTTGTTCTATAGCATTATTTTAATGTGTTCTCATCATTCGAGCAAATACAATTGAAATACATATTATATATGAGATTTACATCACACTTTTTCGGGGGGCCCTTATGTAAGGTATAGTTATTATTTTATTACCAAAAAATTAATTCACACAATTTAATATAAAGATATAATGTGGGGTGGGTTGTATTGAATATACTTTAAAATTTATATAATACAATATATTGTATAGTAAACATCATCTTAGCAACGATGATAGATTTCGGTTCTTGTAGGTTTAGGGACGAAACACGGTTTATTTGTATTGTTCGGACATCATAAAGGCATCTTTGGTCGGCCCAAACACTTTGACCAGATACCGATTACTATAGATTTATGTCATATTCTGCAGTTCTCTTAAGCCTTCCCGTTGTGCTGTTGACGTTATTTTATGATAATGCATTATTGTTGTAAGATGTCAGTTTTAACGGAAATCTGGTGGATCCGGTTAAACGCACGCACAAACAACAATTCACAATATCATCGCATTGTTATATTATGTACTTTTATTATTATTATAAATATTGTGTGTCACTCGGCATAATTTTACCGTGACGAGTACAATATATTATGAAGCGCGTGGTAGACGTTCGCGCGTAAACGTGAAAAAAACATAAAATATTCGTGGGAGGTGTCATCCATATCCATATATTATATTATATAAAATATAATGTTATACGCACGTCATAATAATATCGTATTTGTCGCGTGCACCTCACACTGATCCTGAGCCGAATAGTTAATAAAAAAAATAGTGCACGTGCAATTTCCATTGCAAGCAGACAATAATGCGCTTATTTATTAAAACGATTTTCTGAACAACTCGAAATAATATGAAAAAAATCGCAAGAACAATAAAATCTGCTTTTCGAGCGCGCCTCTTGAATTTTATCACGACCAAACACTTTTTGTTTGATTTATCAGGGTAGACAATCGATTTTTTTTTTGCATTTTCACGTGGCGTTCTTGAAACGGTTCGATGACGTGAACAAATTGAATTTATTCTCTCTCACTCTCTCTTTCTCACACACACACACTCAATTTATACTTGCACGCTACACTACCGCGGTATTCGAGATGTATTTTATCATTATATAATATTATTATTATTCATTTTTCTCGACGACATTTCGATTTGAATTGCGTTACAATGCATACCTATTAATGTGTATGTGCCGCACGCGAACGAAATGAAAACGTATGTCAGAGTCAAAGGAGAAGGTTATGCGTAACGATCGCGTTAGAGGTCAAAAAGTCTGCGCAGGTATGTATATTTATGTATAACAACACTAAAAATACGAATGTATAGAGGAAATTTAAGGGGAAAAGATACAGATAAATAAATATATATATATATATATATACATATATTATATATTTTAAATTAAATCTACGTAGACGACGATCTTTTATCGTGATTGACGTTCAGCGTCGAGTCGAATAAAAATAAGATATACGATCCGATAATACATACATTTAATTATTTAAATGTGTTCAACGCGTATATATACACGCTGAACGCTTTGAAAGATTTTTATTTAATACCCTAACGTCCTAACACTAAATCGGTAAAAATAAATAATAATAATAATCCATCACTGAATTCGCGAAATCTCAACAACTTTTTAATTGGCACGACATGCGTGGAAATACTATCGTCTGTTCCGTGACGTTCTTACAAATTCGCGTCAACATACGCATAATAAAATACATACAAAATACACCCGCCACCATATTATTACTATTACTATTATTATTATTATCATTATTATAATTTATAACTGCAGCCATGCGATGTCGAATTAAGACAACGAAAGGTGTTCTGCTGTCGTATTAACAAAAAAACTGCTGAAAAAATTACATACTTAGGTAATATAAGCGACCTATAAAATAAAACGGTATTCACACACACACGCACATAGTATTATGTGTGTGTACACTGTACATTCAGTACATTTTTTTTCAGAGGTTATCAGCTCGAGCAACGGCTCGATAACATAATATTATATACTATACGCCGGACTTGAATCTAACAAAACACCAATTGAAAGAGATAAAACGCGAATATATATATATATTCAATATACATATATACGAGAGTATCAATCATTGTTATTTTTTTATTGAATTTATTGACGATTATTTTTGTACGTAAAAAAAATTATAATAATAATAAACGATGACCCTCACACCTTGTAACTTAAATTTTTTTTTTATAATCCTTCTCACATTGGTTCTCTCCGTTTCACTCACTCTCTCTGTTTTTCTGTTTCTCTCTCTCTCTCTCATGTACACATACACACACACACTCTATCTCTCGTGTGCAGACGCATACAACACGGTAATGTTGTGTATATGAATAGAAGTTCCAAAGAGACCTCGTTGCTCTTATAACACAATATAAATATAATTTATATATAATTTATATCGAAACGATTATGCGCATAATATTATTATGATGCGGCAGACATAAAAAATAACTATAATAACTTGTAGACGTATAATAAACACGAACAATATTGAATTTCTTTGAAAAACACTTTTTCGAAATCGACAATTAATCCGTATTGTTCCTCGCTGACAATGGTCATTTTTCGCTCGCGACCTACACACGCCTTCCGCTGAATTATTATCACACACCATACTTTTGTCTCCAATGGCCCACGTTGTTTTAATAGTTATAATTTGTTAATATTGTAATGCACACACACACATACGCACGCGTGCCATAATGTACAGTGAATTGTGGTTTAGACTTACAGTTTTTCTTTGTTAAATGTCACACACAATCGAGATTAAAAGTATATAATATTATAACAGGTTATGCAGAATTTTTTTTTAATATACAAACTTCCCTTTAATGCGTCTCATTGATTATTGTTTTATAGGTAGGTATAAACCAGAATACCAGATAATATATTATTATATACGTATCGTTATATTTCACTATCAACAAATAATGTTTTATATTAGGTATAATAGGTATTATAATTATTTTAATCAATCAAAAAAGTTTCAAAAAAAAACATTACAGGTTTAAAATAGTATAGTTATGCATTATTTATGTGTAATAATATATAATATTAGGTAGGTACATCGATTAATGGCAGTCTACTTGTATATAAGCCTGGCAAATGGAATCAGCAATAACCGCGATCAATGTATTATAATGTGTTATTATATGTGTATAATAATAACATATTCTATTATATTACTCCCGCATTATAATAATCAGCGGACTTATTTTTCATCATTCTCACTCACAGATTATGATATTCATATTATTATATATGTCTAACCATTTGAACGTAATAATATTCCTTAATTGGGACCGCCAAATACACGAAGAACATTTTATTGCAATAATAATAATAATTTACGAAAATCCGTAATCAATTTTCGTAATCCAATAACAGGACGGTCGCCGCCGCCACCGGTCCGATTTATACACACGCGCAGGCGAATAGAGATTACTCATACGCATTATACGTAGGAATATAAATTATACAGAAGGATCGCAAATTGGATACGCTAAACGGGTGCATGTGTATAGTCGGTTTTTCACGGGGGTTAAGACACAGGAAATGGACGTAATTTCCCGTCGCACACGTCGTCTTGCGACATCGTCGTCGTCGTCGCCACATTAGGTGAGTCGAAACGTCTGAGCTTATAATATGTATATATGTAGGCACACAAGCGTAGGTATACGCTGCACAATAATGAAATTAGAAATTTCCGATATAATATACGCACACATCCCATTACGCGTTCTCGATGGATAATTTAAATAAGAGCGTGCAGGCCGCGATCACTCCTTTCTTCGTCAGCCTTTGGCTTTATACTTACATTATTACACATATAATATATATATATAGATACAAATGCTAATACCTCCTATATACCATCGCGGCCTGTCCTGTGCATAAATATAGATACTTACTATAAATGTTGCTCAGAAAACGTATTATCTCGTGTATATGCTAAAATGAGACGTGTATACCTCCTGCGACTGAGGTCGTCAACGAAGGGTCAAGCCAGCCATCGATGCAGTCGATATAATATTATGATATAGGTACAGACGTACAGTTAGTGTTAAATTTACAAAGTAGACTATTACAGGTCCTATCCTTTAGGCACAATAATAATGGTGTATGCATAAAAACGCTCGGATGAAATCTTATAATTTTTTTTGTTAAAAATGATAAGCTTTAACGGTCATGGTTAAAAAAAATTGTTATTATTACGTCAATCTTGCTATTCATTCACTGTATTATGATGCTATTTGTTTTAGGCCACAGAAAATAAGTCGTTTGTTAAATAATAAATAAAGGTAAAATGAGCGTCGAGTATTGTGGGACACATATATATAAAATGTACATACTTAATTGAAAATTACAAATTATTGTTATTCAATTGCCACGAATCTTATATAACAGCATACATATAATAATAGGTAAACGGCAATCGAATTATATTACATATATTTTATTAATTATCTATACATATTCGGAAAAGGCCACAGACTTAAACGAGGCGAGGAATTAGGTGTAGTGAGATGTCCCTATACCGCTTAGGGTTAATAAATTAAATAAATTTAATACTAGGGTTCATATTTTTGTGAAGCGGCGCATTACTCTACGATAAGCTCCTGCCTTTGCCTATATATTATGATTTTATGTTATGGACGTGAGAGTGTATTATAGAGGCATTATACTTCAGGACCTAAGGAGCATCCCGCACTCGAGACCCTATACATCTCAACTTGATGTAAACTGCAGGCGCTTCGTCGGACGGATGAAATAATAATATTATAACAATAATAATGCACCGACCGACACCGCGTACACTATATATTAACGCTAAACATAAACTACTAATATACATACGATAGAGTGTTGTACCTATTTTGATTTTACGATTTTCGAACGCTGGTATAAATCGTTCGTCGCCATTGTTGTTCGCGTAATAATAATAATAATAATGATAATACATACGCGCGCATCAACAAACCCGAACGGGGAAAATGTTTACACGTAACGTCGCCACCGCCGCGGTCGTTCCATTAAAAATTTCCCGAGTTATTTAAACTGCGTGTGTGTATATAAAAAAAAAAACCGACGTAAACAATATACATATCCTCGAGGCGGCGTGTGTCGTCCACGTGCGGTTCAACGAACCGTTTACCGAATGCATTTTAAAGAGAACACGAGATGTAAAAACAACAAAAATCCTCCCCGTCAGTGGACTACACCGCTTTGATGACATTTCGCAATCGTTTTATTATTTATTTTTTTTGCAGGCGCACATAGTACCTACCTACGTGTATGTGATCCGTACAAAAAGTCCCAGTCGAACGCGAGCGGGAGCATTATCCTGTGACTTTTGGCGAATCGATAAAATTGTATCGGATGTGTCACCACTGCACCACATGAAGGATGCATCATCAGTTTTGAGTGAAAATCCGAACAAAATCAATAAAATTCCAAATGTTATGTATATATAGGTATAATATTATGTATAGGTACCTACAACAAGAGGCAAAAGGCGGGTAAGAGTTGAGAGCTGAGCGCAAAAAGGAATGTTTCAAAAAATAAATGTTGAGATGAAAAAATAAATAAAGGCACTCTCATACACGAGTATTATTATTACTATTATTATTTATGAATTCTCGACGATGAATAGAGAGACGTCACCTCAAACGAATCCTACACAAATGCGCAGCATTGACAAAAATAAATACGCGTAATCTACTGATTGAGGGCGTATTGTAAAGGTTCAAACGGTTTTCGCTCTTATTATTATAATAATTATAATAGTAATTTTTTTTTTGATTTATAAATAATATTCGATATGATATTTCTAATCATTTTGAAAGCTCGTCGGTCGATTATATTATACTCTGTACAACCCCGCGGCACTCTCAGGAGGAATCAATATAGATGAAAATATTATACTGACTACATGTATATATAGGCACTATATAATATATAGTTCTTGCTCGTAGGTATATAAATAAATATATATAGATTATGTACTCTTGACTATTTATTTCGCGAAAAGGGATATAGAAACAACAACTGTTAAAATAAGCTCAAAGCGATTCGAGAGAAAAAATAACAAACATTTCACCCAGTTGAAGTTGGCTGGTTATATATACTTATTATACTGCCATGATGTATTATTTTATGAAAACATAATATCGAAAGATTAATTATACCGAATGTTTTTATTCTTTTTATTTTGTTCAGTCGAAACGACGTAGGTACTCATCACTGCGTGTGTATAATATTGTATTATAATAACTTAATAGTAATAATTGACAAATACTTTAATTCCTATATCAATATAGACATAAAACGACACTAGACGGATTGTGTATAGTGTGTACAGAGTGCTTCGGAGACAATATTTTAATGTTAATAAATAATAATATTATAATATTATGCTGTTATCGACGATTCACTTATTAACAATTATCAAATGTATATTTTACACATAATTATTGCCTATTATAAGTATACAACAATTGCGGAGATAAGTGCTCTGTCTTAGTCGTGTCATAGTAAGACATATGTATATACTATGACGAGAGAGATATATAGAGAAAGAGAGAGAAAGACACAGAAAAGAAATTCCACTAGATTCCACTGCGCGATCTCAAATATATATGATATATACGTATGTAGGAACTGGGGGCTAAGGCCACAAATCAAAGCAGTTAAAACGGACAAATAAACGGTCGGACTAGTCGCGGCGGACGTTTACTACGTGTTAGAAAACTGCGCTGCTCTGCGAATTTCAACAAGTGATATCTTTTATAAATGTTTTTTTATTGTGTAATTATTTATTTGTCTTCAGCGCCGCAACAATAAGTAACGCGGTAACAACGCCGCTGCAATCGCGCCACAGCGGATAATAATAATATACATATATGCGTCGATGATAAATGTGGTACACAATTTTATGGGCTCGTAAATTTACCGGACAACGTCGACGTGGTTATATTATATATATATATTAAATTGTCCGGTGGTTGTTTTCGGATGGCAATAAAACAGAATGCAAATTAATATATCGTCCACCTCCTCTGCGTGGCGACAGAATTGATGCATTTTTATGAACTTACTTAAAAAAAATACACGATAATAATAAAAAGACGCCAGACAAGAGGTGGATACGCTCGCGCGATACGAATTTGGTTGGCGAAAACGTTCGTCTTGCAGGCGTTCTATATATGCACATTTTGATAAACACTGAGATAGTTTCAAAGCCACCATGATTTATTTTGATCTTGAAATTTTTTAGAACAACATAATCGAAAATAAATTAAAATGCTCTTAAACTTAAATACTTATGCGAGTATAACTATACATAAGTACGGTTCTAAAACTAAGTAGATAAAGTTCTTTTTCAATTGTAATTATACATGTGTAACGCGATGCAAATATATGTATTATACTATATTGCAATATTATTTATCACAACTATATTTTACAGAAACGATGCCTATAAGAAATAAAGTTTTATACATGTTTTTGACTAATAAAAGCTGAAAAATATATCGAACACCCATCGAATAACAATCAAAATGAATTGTGTCGATAAGGTTATAATAGACATCAGTGGGTCCTCATTGATGTGAGAAATACGGACAACGAAAAGCGTCGTGGAAAATACAATATAATATACCGACTTCTCTATACAGTTTATTGTACGTATGGTATAAGGGTTTTTGTGTATAGGTATTCACTTAGATACAATAGAGGCGTCGAGACAATTAAAGCGAAAAAAAAAAATGTATATAATAAATAAACCAACACTATTTGTCGATTCCCCCTTTTTTAGATTATTTTCTCCCTTATTTTCTTACACGTCCGAGGTCTTGTATACAAGAGCATTTTTTTTTGTCAATGACAAATGATCCGGTAAACGGTCGAGCATTTTATATACTTTTACATTATATACGTTTACAAGAGCGTTCGTATATATGTATATGCCACATCCTCTTCCTCTTGCAGCTCACACAAATCACCCAAAGTCTCACCGGCGCGCTCGCACAATATACAGATACACAACGCGACGCCAATATAGACACTGCGCAAACAGAAACCGATTTTTTACTTTTGTACACATACATCTTTTTCGATATATATGTCCCAATGACGTACATACACATAATATAACGTGTGCAGATACATATATTATATAATATATATATACACTAGCAGTGCAGTGGTCGCTGTGTGGTCCGGGAAAATCGCAAAGTTATTTTTCTTTTCTTCATTCTCTACATCTTTTCTTTTCTTTCGTTCTTTTTATTATTTTTCGGCTGCAAAAGGAAACAAAAACGCCGATGGTGAACATCATCCATTATTCATCGTCAGATCCACTATATATATTATATGGCGTGGCGGTGGCGACGTTTCTTTCTCAAAGTGTACACTCGTGTATACTTCAACCTGCGCGCGCGAGTGTATGTGTTTTGTTTCCATCAAAAAGCAAATGCGGACCGTCTGCTGAATGATAAACCGACTACGATATTGCTCCGGTGAACATCCTCTGTGCTTGCACGTGAACTATATATACAATCGACGACGACCATACACACACACAAACACACACACGCACGAACGCATATACGCTATTATAGGGAAGCGATGTACACAAGACATTAAAGGTCGGATGTCATAAACTGTCAAATATTTCGTACGGAAGACATAAAAAAGACCGGGGAGTATACTTATGTGCAAATCGAAAAATGTCATAGATTTCTTTATTTTATTGTAATAGAACAGCTTTTATAAATAAAAATGTTATAACATTGTTTTCGTGAGTGAACATCAAACACAATATATTTACTTACAATAATTCACAATATTTCATTTTCTTAATTAAAGAAACATCATTCGGGTGGAATTTATACAGTGATTGGGTACAAATGTGTAATAAAAATAAAGGTCTTTAAAACAGATCATAATAATAGTAAAAACCAATATTATTTTATCTCATTATATTAAACTACTATATCATAGGTATATCTATTCCGCGGGATTGTTAATGCGATTTTCAGTACCTATCAACTAATAATAATATATAATAAACTCCGTTCATGATTGATTTAAGCTCTACTAACTGACCAATTAACAGTATTATGGTAATCTCGTAAATTATAAATTTGCCATATTTCATAGCGCCGTGCATTCAGCAGATATATACCATTATTCAAGTAATGTAACTGCTTCGAAAAATGTTCTCAACGCAACAATTGTTTTTAAAATAGTAAAGCATATATTAAATATACGCATTTAACGTCACAACTACAATAACAGCGGTGGCACGCGTTACGACGATGGCGTTTTAACACGCTTTGCATCGAAGCGTGGGTGGACGGTTTTGGGACGGAGAAAAAATGCAATTCAAAAATAAATTTAAAAAAAAAACAGGAAGCATGCCTTAAAAACTATGTTTAGGCGTCGTGTCCGGTTTACTGCGGGACGATAACTGCTCCGAACAGCCAACACACAATAAGTAGGGATCGTACGCCACCGGAAGTAATCGATATCTATATAACCAGGGCAATTGGCGGCGTTGCACAAGTGCACTCAGCTGATAGCCATTGTAGCGGCATAACAATAGACCGTTTGCTTTGAAGTCTATTATTATGTTTAACATAATATATAACTAGTGTACACATGTGATGTGCAAGACTGCAAACATATAATATAACGCGCGCGACGATTGAACCGCGTTCGTACAACAAAATACGAACATAATATAAATAGTGCGCTAGTAAGTATATAATGCACACTTACACATTATATTTAATAGGCATTTAACAATAAAATGAAAAATGAGCCTAACGTTGATAGAAAAATCGTAATCGGAACAACAGAACAATATACGCTAATAACGGATTGAGTGAAAATAGCACGAGTTTGGGCTGGAAAACGCGGGGGCTATGTATTTGAATCACTTACAATGTTATTATAAGCAAGGGAAAGCGTGTGCGCTACGAGAAGAGACGGTATAAATAGCGATTGACAAGAAGAAGAAAAAACGGTCCGGAGAAAACGAAAGAAGAAACATCGTTTGTAGATGATACGAAGCAGATAACCCTGCGTCGTCGTCGTCCGCGCGTATAGTTTGATAATAACATGATGATAAGGTGACACGCAGCTTCTCCCCACTGAGATATACAGCCAAATGATCCGTACCGACCGCATGACGACTTAACCTTTTTGTCAGTCTCGAGCTAATTGTCCGTCAAGACCCCTACAAGATATACGCTCTATGTACAATGTATATATGCTGCGGGTTCGAAGGGGGTTATTTTTACGCGAACCGAAACCGGAGAAAAAACAAACAGGATCTTAGATTAAAAAAAAAAAGAAACCGAAAGAAAAGAAACCAGCTGATATACCTATACAACTATACCTATAGCACGTTGACGTTGACGACCTTGCAAAGACGGACCAAACTTTGACTGTAACCGACACGAAAAGTGCTATACGGCTTAAATAGGTGTAATTAAGAGATGTGTTTTTGTTAAAAAATAATAATAAACCCATTCTCGAGAGGGTCACAAACAAATGAATAACGAGTGTAGAGCGACACAATTAGTTCGAGACAATAACGAGGA